CTTGAGCCACATCCCCAGCCCTCCCTTGTATCCTTGGTCTCATTCCGGGAATTTTCCTGCGATCTCAGGCAGTGCGTACTTTTATTATTGAGTGGCGTATGCCCTGTTATCCGTATCATGAGGATCGTAAACAAAACACTTAACATTCTTAATGGTTCTGGTTTCCAGATGGTGCGGCCCTGGCGCAGCGTCCCCCACGCTGTGACCCTGTCTGACAGCGGGTGTAGGAACGCCTTCACCACCCCAGCTCATGGCCTTCTGCCTCCCCTGGTCTCCCAGCAGAACTGCAGGACAGTGGCTCATGGGTGGACTCCCCCCTCTGTACAGAGCCGGAGGGGCCACCTATAGACCCCTCTAGGGTCTCAGGCTCTGTACTCAGCTCCTCTGCCTCTGGCTGTGGCCTTGGGCTGAGCTCTCAGCATCTCAGAGCCTCCTCTCTCTAGTAAGGCCGTCTGTGTTGGGGGCCGTCTGTGTTGGGGCCACCTGTAGAAAAATGCAGGGTGGGTGCAGATCTGAGAAAGGGCTTTAAGAACTCTAGGCTGGGTGAGGTGGCATGCACCTGCAATCCCAGTGGCTTGGGAGGCTGAGGCAGGAGGATCTCAAGTTCAAAGCCAGCCTCAAGCAAATTAGGCCCTAAGCAACTCAGTGAGACCCAGTCTCTTAACAGAATTCAAAAAAGGGCTGCGGATGTGGCTCGGTGGTTAAGGGCTCCTGGTTGCCAAAAAAAAGGACAGAAGAGAACAGAACTTCAGGTAAGACTGTTATTAAGGCCCAGGTAGCCAGTGAGCGGGGAAGAGGAAAGCAGGAGGACCCTGGTCCCCACTGCCGCCCCACAAGCAGGAGAGCTGGAGCCTGGCCTGGCTCAGGAAGGGAGTGAGGAGGCCCAGAGGACGTCCCGGAGGGCAGGCCAAGGTGGGGATCCAGGGGGGCAGGTTCGTGGGCTGCCAAGGGCAGGGCCTGGAGTAAATCTTGGGTCATCGTAGGCCTTGGGTCAAGTTCCTCCACTCCTGAGCCTCAGTTTCCCCAGAGAAACTACAGATATGGGTCTGGCCCTCCAGGAGTCCCTCCTCCAGCAGCAGGCTCTGTGGGAGTGGGACAGGTCTGCTGCACCCAGGCCTGGCCAGGCCCCTAGTGGGTGCCACAGCACATACAGGTTGAGTGCATTTCTGCAGCCTGTGGATAGACAGAACGCTCCAGTTTCGGACTCTGACAGGGGCCATGCCAATGCCCAGCACAGTCACGGTGACGGGCTGACCCCATGGAAGCCTGGGCCTCCAGATACTTCCTCCCGTGCCCCTGCTCTGTTCTTTACCCGTGGCCTGTTGAGGAAATGCCGGGGCAGGCCACAGGGAGATGGGGATGGGCACTGTGGGGACACAAGCCTACACGGGCACCAGTCCTGTTGTCTTGACAATGGCTCATGTCCCAAGCACCCCAGGCACCCACGGGGGCAATTAGTGAGTGTGGGAGGGGGTTTCCATGGTGGCGGTCTCGAGGGGGAGCACTGGGGCTTAGGGAGAGACAAGAGCTGGCGGGACCTTTCTCCTTTGTCCTGGGCACACTAGGCCTTTGTTCTTTCTGGCTCCCTCTGACTGACAGGACCAGGAGCATGGGTGAGGGGGCACGGAAGTGGGTGGGAGTCCCTCCACCCCAGGGAGTCCTGAACTAGCCTAGGGGGAGGGGAATGAGGGGTGGAATAGAGACTAGCCCCCCACTCCTGGGCCCAGCTGCCACTGGGGAGCCCTCCTCCCAAGGTGCAGGAGCCTTACCTGCCCCCAAGAGGCCGAGCAGGGTGGCTTACCAGCACAGCTCTCTTGCTGGTAAACAGCTTCCCCAGAAGCCAATGGGCAGCCTCCGGGAGTCCCCAGTCAGAAAGGAGAGGGCAGGTGTGGAGGGTGGGTGAGGGCAGGAGGGACGGGGTGGCAGGTCCAGGGCCAGGGCTTCTGCCGATCCATCCAGGCATCTGCTCAGTCAGACTTTATTCCAGGTCCTCCAGGAGCCCTCCAGGGTCCCTTAGTCAGCCAGCAGCCTCACCCCACCGTCTTCCAGCTCTTTGATACAGGCACCAAGACAGGTTCACAGGTGGTGGCCAGCCTGCCCCACATGCCCCCTTCTGTGACCTCTGATCTCATGCCTGACACAGTCCATAAAGTCCCACTCGGCACGGTCCTCACTGGGCACAAAGATGAGTCACCAAATCCCAGCAGTAAAGTACAGTGCCCACATTCAGGGCTGGCATCAGCCACTCAGGTGACTGGGACTGGGGACTGAGTCCATGGCACCTTCAGAAGCGGGTGTCCAGGAAGGAGGCAGAGCCTCGGTGGGGCCTGGGGGCACCCTCCATGGGGGGTCCCCTGGACCGAGTCAGGAGCCCGTGGAAAGTCTTGCCACGAGTCTGGGGTTTGCGCCGTGGTGGCGTGGTCTCCTCTGGGGGTTGCACCACGATTCGAGGTACCTCAGGCCTGGCACTCCCTCGTGCCCCTGCCAACTGCTGGGCCTCGAAGATGGCCTGGGCCCCAGGAAGGCGGGCCTGTGGCCGAGGTAGTGGCTCAGGTGCTGACTTGGACAGCTGGGCCAGCTGGACCCTGGTCTCCCGCTGCAGGTCCCGCTCTGACAGGGCCACGCTGTGTACCTGTGGGGAGCAGTTGGTGCAGAATTTACTGGGACCAGAGCACAGGCAGGAAGCCCTGAGGTCTCCACAGGCAGGCAGTACACAGCCCCAGGAAGTGGCTAAGGGCTGAGGGACTCGCAGGCAGCGAGGGGGGGGGAGCCACAGAAAGTCACTTGAGCCTGGGGTTTTCACGTTCTCTGTAGCTCAGAGGACAGGAGCCGAGTGTGTCCTCACTGGGGCTTCCAGCTTGGTGACTCGGTTTACCCAGCTGTGCATCAGGGGCCGGGTCATCGAGGAGGGTGGGCAGGGGGCACCCACCTGGGACATGAAGACCTCTTCCTGCAGCTGAGCGGGAGGGATAGCTCGAAGGGCACCAAGCGTCTCCAGGAGTCCTGGGCAGGCCATGCGCTGTTCTGCAGTGCCCAGTGCCAGGCGCACCAGTGTCAGCCCCACTCGGAACAGCACCTTGGCACCTGCAGCCAGGGACTCACTCTCAGGAAGCCAGCCTTTCCCTGGGCCATTCACCTGAACCTGCCCCCAGTCATGCTCTCTCCACCAGCCTGCAGCTCTGCCCCCACCCAACTTAGGCCAGGAGCAATGACAGAGGGAAGACCATGATTTGGGGACTGCAGGCCCCTGCGCTGGCCAACTCAGCCTCAGGAGCCCCAGACACTTCCAGGCAGAGCAGCCTGCCAGGAGCCAGGGGAGACCGAGAGCACACACCAAGCCTTCTCTGGGCCTCAGCTTCCTTCCTTTATTTGTTTGTGGTGCTGGGGATCAAACCCAGGGCCTTCTGCATCCAAGGCAAGCGCTCTACCACCTGAGCTCTATCCTCTATATGGGGAGGTCCAACGGGTGCCTCGGGACTTTCCAGCTTGGATCTGTGACCCTCTGGTTCTAGGAAGATTCTAGGCAGAGCTGCTCTCATGCCTGAACCAAGAGCACAGGGCTCACGTGCCTGGGCACACATATGCACCTCACACACACCACACACATGACCTTGAGCCACTCCTGGAGCCTCACAGTTCCTTCCTGGCAGCCTCTGATCCGCTGAGAAGAGCAGCCAGGGGGCCAGAAAGGCCTAGTGACAACTGTGACTTGTAAAGGAACAATTGACACTGCTAACGTCATCATCGCTATTAAAGGGTGTCCGTGCAATGCCTGTCCTCAGGTGGAGGGGGCAGGGATCACTCGGGGTCTGAGGCTGGAGGGGAGGTGACACATGGATGGTGACTTGGACGGACACCAGTGGTCCTCCCTGTGTGGAAGATCTGAAGCCAGTAGAGAGGTACTACTCAATCACCACTGCTTTTTTAGGGACAAGCTCTGGACATCACAGGTGGGGTGCTTATGGGGCTATCGAGGCGCGTCAAGAAGACCCCAAGACTGCCTGGCTCTCCCCTCGTGATCCTCCCGTTCTTTGCTCCCAACTTCCACCCACGACCCTTCTGTTTACCTCCAGCCAGAGCACCTTTAAAGATAGCAAGAACTTCCTGCCACTTTCCTGACACTCTGTCACATCCTTTGTTTTATTTTCTTCATGGCACTATGAAGTTCTATAAATATCTCCTTAATTTGGCTACAGTCACTTCCCGCCCCACCCCACCCCCACCAGAATGAAGGTCTGGAACACTTGGCATTTTGTGTTGCCAGAGCCACCCTCGCCTGGTGCCCGGCTGTGCTCGGCAGTCGGCTGGGGGCTCCAGGAGGAGCCTCCTCCCTCAGCCAAGTCCCAGTCCTGCCCGCCTCTGAGCTGCTCAGATGCCAGGCACTGGGATCAGTCCAGCTCCCTCCACCTTCAGCAGAAACCTCCTGGCCCAGCCCTGGCCCAGCCCTGGCCCTGCCCTGGCCCTGCCCTGGCCCAGGCAGTGCTGGCCTCCCTGTGGTACTCCCCATCACAGGAGGGGGCTCCAATGCACTCCACTGGCGATGCACCACCTGGGACAAGGCTGTCTTCTCCAGAGCCACATCCAACCCCCCCTGGTTCAAGGCCCCAAAAGACTGGGAGTGGCAGCTACCAAGCAGAATAAACTGAGAGCTAGTGAGCGGGCTCCCCAGTGCACCCCAAATCTCTGGACCCCAGCCACTGGGGCTGCCCCACTCACCCTCGCTGAGGAAAGCATCCCAGATGCGCAGCACCGTGGGGAATGGCAGGGAGCGGGCGAAGAGGCACAGGAACCACTCAGGCAGGTAGAGCAGGGGCCCGACGCCCACCTGCTGCAGGTGCTTGTGCACACGTGGGAGCAGCCGCCGTAGCAGGGCCATGAAGACCTCCGCGTCCAGACGCACAGCCTCCTGTGACCACGTCCATCAACTCAGCTGGCCAGAGCTGCCCAACACCCCTACTCCCTGAACCCAGGTTTCTGCAGCCCCCACCCTTCGCCTCCTGCCCCATCCCAGCCTCTCACCATGTGGGGCCCATAGTAGCCAGGAAGGTAGACCTCGCAGATCTGCACCAAGCACCAGAAGGCCTCCTACGGGTAGGGCACAGGCCTGTGAGTGCCCACTGAGCAAGGGCCATACTGGGAGGCAGGAGGGGAAGCGGGTGCAGGAGCACTGTCAGGAGCCTGGACTCAGGGCAACTCCTGCTCTGCTCAGGGTCTGGTGGCTGGCTCTTACCAGAAGCCCCCCTCTTCCCAAGACAAGGCCAACAGATGGGCTTAGGGGTTGGATGTTACAGGGCTCAGGGTGCTGGACTTGAGGGTCACAGAGCCAGGGCAAGGGTTGAGAGGGTCATAAAGTTCAAGTCCTGGATTCCTAGGATCATTGGCCACAGAGTCCATGATCACAGGATTCAGAAGCAAGAGGCAAAAAAATTAAGGTGAAAATGTCCAGACTCCTAGATCACTTGGATAAGGGTCGGGGTCAAGGGGTCTGTGTTCCTGGAGTCAAGGTCATTAGGCTTCAAGATCACTAAGTGAGGTTGGAGGCCATGAGGCCCTGAGTCTCCAGACAAGGTCTGAGAGTAAAGGATCCCGAGGCTAGAGTTACTGAGGTTGGAGGTCATAGGTCCAGAGCTCAGGATCAATTGTGGGGACCCAGGTCACTAGGGATCGCGGGTGGGGGTCTCCAGGCAGGGTTGAGCTCACTTACCTCCGGAGGCAGGTACATGAGCAGCACAGCCGCCACAGGGCCCTGGGCCTGGCAATAGCCCTGCTCCGGTCTATACAGGGTGTAGGCCTTGAGAACCTGCAGGAGCCCCTGCTGCCTGTGCCAGAAGACCCCATCAGGGGCTAGGTGCCCAGACACCCCCTCCCACCCTCTGTGGCCTCTACCCAGGCTACAACCTCCCTGGGCTTTATTGGGTCCCCTGAGATGAAAGGATGTAAAGCTACAGTGGGGAATGGGGTCCCTGGGTATTGCTGGCCTCGTACCCATGACCCTGGGGTGACACAAACATCTCATGTAGAGGGAACTGACGGTGTAGGTCTCTGCCAATGGTCTCCATCCACTGTGGGTCTCCAGGGGCTTCTGCCAGCTCCTGCAGGTGGACAGGAAGGTGGGTACAAGGATCCAGGGTAATACGGAGCTCTGGGAAGGGGAGGTAATTCCCTTACCTGATAGGTGCCAGGGCTGTTCTTCTGACACACCTGAGCCCCACACAGCAGAGGCCAGCACCGGGCCCGCAGAGCTGAAGGGATGCCCTTCCGGCACTGCATCTTTACCTGTGGGCCAGGCAGAGGGGCTTCATTAGGCTGACCTTACTTGCTGCTGTTGACAGGTCCCTGGCACACTCCCATAGGCCAGGGGGCCACCTGAGGGGGAGGGGGCAAAGGTAGGAAGTGCTGGGTCACCGCATGGGCAAATTTTATTAAGGCAATGGGTGAGGCAGAGAGGAAGGAGGCAAGGGGGCCTGATGAGTCACTCTTCTCTCACCTTCTTGTACCGTCGGGACATGGTCTTCTCCCAGTGTGAGGTCATCTCTACCCATTTCATCTCTCTTTGGCGGATAAGGTCTGCAGGGGGGTGACCTGGCCTGGGAACCCACAGCACATGTATCCAGGTGCTGGTAGCTGTTCCTCGGAGCCCACACCTTCCCCCTCCAGATAACTCAGGTAAACCCAGTTCCTGGCACTGGGGCTCTCTAGGGAGTCCTAGAGGGTGACCTGTGACCCAGAAGCTGTCAATGATAGTCATGGGGATAGGAAAGGATAGAGCTCTGATGTGGGCAGAAACAGGAACAAAATTAAAGGGTGTAACTACGGGCTGGAGAGGAGCGGGGTGACCGTCACCCAGGTCAGGAACACAGACAATTCGCATGGAAAGCTGGCCGGACAGAGCCCTGCACTAGAAGCCAGGGGTCCAAGTTTGAGTCTACTTCTGTCTTGGACCCGTTATGTGACCTAAGACAAATTTCTGTCTTTCTCTGGACTCGTTTTCCTGTCTGCCCATTGGGCAGGGGAGAAGAGCTGTGGGTTCTGTGACTTGGATCTGAGATTCCCGGGCCAGAGATAATAAAAAGGGAAAGATGTTCACCCCCGGGGATGGGTATAAATCCTTAGAAGCTGAAGTAAAAGAGACATACAGGAACACCCTTCCCACTTTAGGATCACTCCTGGAGCCTGAGGAGGGATGACACTGGCTGAGTCTCTGTCCAGTCCAGCTACCAGACCCTCCCCAGATCCTTGAAGTTGAGTCTCACTCCAGAATTCAGCCCTCACCCCCATCCTCGGTCCCTGCACCCTGCCATCTCCCATCCCTGCCCGACTTACCCTGGCTCTGCTGAGCTTCCCCCAATGAAGCCATAGCGGTCAGCCTGACGATAGGGGCCAGGCCCACTCAGTTCTGAGTCAGACCCCAAAGAGCTGGAATCATCCTGCAGCTCAGAAGACTGCACTAGGTCCTCCCCCAGGGCCTGGGCCATAGCGCCTAAGACCCCAAAATGCCACTGGCTGAAAGACCTGGGGAGAATCAATGTGAGGGGCTGCTCCTGGCCAGCCTGGGGCCTGGGTTCCAGTCAACCACTGCCTGGCCTCAGAGGGAGATTTCAGGATATTTGAACAAGCCCCCTATGTGCCCTCTTTCACTGGGGAGTGGGCTAGTCCCCGAGGTGACATAAAGGCCAGGCTTCCATAGAGACCAGGCCCCGGGCCCAGCCTGTCCCCACCAGTTCAGCTCACCTCCCTGCTCTACCTCACCTCCTCCTCTCACTTCCTCCTCAGACTCAGCTTCAGTGAGCGGTTGGGGGCCCCTCCCAAGTGTGTATGGGGGGGTCACCCCTTCCTCTCTGAGGCTCTTCCTGCCTGCCCCTGTGCCCCTGAACCTCGGCTCCTCCCACCTCCCCCTATGCCTGTGCGTTGGGGCCTGGAGCCTGCCAGAGGTGAAAAGCCAGGTCATTTCCAGTTTTGAGGTTACTGGTATGTAAAACACCCAACTCAGGGTTCCAATAAGATTTATAGTTTACTTTATGTTTGCTCTCTATAAGGTAACCCTTTTAATATGCACACAATGCAATATTACTATGCTACTCAAAAAGTAACTATGAGACTCATAAAAAATATTAATTTAGCGAGCTCCCAGGCAATGTGCATGACAATACGCTTGGAGTTCAGTGGCAGGTGTCCTTGGATCTGCTCAGCTGCCTGGGGGCCACAGACACCCAGGAGAATATGATGAGGCCTAGGTCTTGGAATAGCCCCCTGCTATCTCCAAGCCATAGTTTCCTTTTCTGCACTTGGAGGTTTTATTCTGTAGTGTTTGGGGAAGTGATTATTAACGTGCTCACACTCAGGGCAGGGATAGGAAGGGGTGTTAAGGCTTCAAGAGAAAAACAACTTCCAGGTACTTCCGGTCCCAAATTATCTGAACGCGGCTGGGCAACTCCTTAAGGGCGGGACCAGACCAAACTCCACCCACCAATCCCCGCCCACCAAATATCAGCTGGTCCCATCCCGTCGCCTGAGACTCCGCCCCCGGGCCATCGCGGCCGTGGCGCTTCACGTCCAG